TGTGTTCTGTCTTTTAAATATGACCCTTTGTCGGCTTTAAGCCATGGTGTGAGGAATACACATTGCTACATCCGACAACACGCGTCCCCTGCTCACGTTATGTACACAGCTCGGGGTGCCAGATGATTTACTTAAGAGGCATACTAGACAAGTGTACTGGTGACACCGCAGACCACAGGCATAAGGACACTGAAAATATCGTTATTTTCGCACCTTGTGAAGAGATGTTTGTATACGTAGGTTGTATTTCTATAGGCACCAACTCCCGATGGTCTTGTGGTGTTTTTCGGACGTGCCCTGCGTGCGGAGACAGTCATGTTAGAGGGGGTGGAAGTGACGGAAGCGGCACACTGGCGGCAGATGACCACACGGGCGTGCTGCAGGCGTCTCATGTCGCCGCTGTGGGTGTCTCCGACGCGCGATACACAGCCATGCAAGCAACCTACGACCTAGCTCTGTGTACAAACTCGAGTCTACATGAATCTTCCAGACTTTAAGCCGAATCCCACCGTCCACATTTACACCGATTAACTTGCCCGCCATCTAAGGCTTCTTTGCTTTTCGGATTCTCTTTACGGCGTGAAGACCATTAATCCCCGTGATCAGAGACAAATCTGCTGAAGGCATCTACAGTAAACATTCTCTTATGTTACAGTTTGCTAGAGGGTAGGTAGAGTTTACCTGACAGGACCCCACCACAGTAAGCTGTTGACTCAAGGAGCAAAACAGCAGTCAGGCAATAGACTGTCCTCAACGACAATGGGTATTGTCAGTACAGTAGACAGACTTGTCCCCAGATGCCTCGGTAGCCTCCCCTTGGTGCGTACGGTTCAGGAGAGACACCCACTACTGTATTTGCATTGCTGACTATAGATCAGGGATATCGTTTCTTACCATACTATGAGGATTCGGATGCAACGACGACCCCTTATTTGTCTGACTTTGCACTTTAAGGATCAGAATCGCTGTCGGTTCCTTGCTTGTCTAACCATGCGCATTTCAGATCAAAGTAGACCCTGTTGTCATTGCTTGTTCCCCCGTGGAACATTGTCGCTTCTGGCATCGAGGACTCCATTGTTAGATATAACCCCGTACATGATGGATACTATAACACGTAAAACAGTGCGGAATAGAGCCTGAGTGTATGTGTCGATTAGTATTGGTGACGATAGGTCATGATCACGGATAATATGGCTTAAACACCCATGAGAATTCTGGGACAGCAAAAAACCAAACTTGACTTGGTTGCCTGCGATTTGCAGATCGGAATACTAGTAGCTGCCTGGCCGTTGCTTGTCAGACTATAACATTTGCGTTAAAATTTATGTACTAATGTAGGCCCCGTATTTATTGCTTGTGTCCCTGTGACGGTTTATTTAGTAACAGGCCATGTATTATGGATGCTTTGGGGTGGATAACTTGTAAAAGATGACTACTATATTTTGTCCAAAAGGCCAAGAATCACCTGTACCGACGACCTGTATCTACTAGACTAACAACTAGACTCTGAAATGAACATATTTTACAGAAAAAAGCTCTTAGTTAAAAAAATACAATATAATGAAAAGGAGCCCTGAGACTGACTATGTATCTACCTGCAACCTGAGAATCACCTAGATGCCTGGTAAGCGCTAAACAGTCAGTTTGGTCTACTCCCATTTGTGAGAACTCCCAGTTGTGAGACTCCCAGTTATGAGACAGTATAGTTGGTAATTAACAAAGAAAACACACCATACTTCCCTGTTTGATAGAATGGATTAACCCTAGATAATTACTGATTTGCTATGTAACTGAATCTTGTGGAGTTAACTTAATGAAACTTTATAAGATAAATTGATTAACATACTCGGGTAAATGTCTTTAAAAATTAAACACTTTGTGTAGGTCTCTTATGCCAAAACCTTTTTACCCGACACAATAAATTTATGGAATGCCCTACCAAATTCCAAAGGGTCATGTAGTCTCAAAGAATTTAAAAACCTAATTACAAAAACCGAAAACAAGATTTATATTGACCTTAATTATGGCTCTTGTTTTTGTCAAATCGTTCACTGCCGCCCAAACGCCGATAAGTATACTCATACCAATAATGGTTGTCACCCCCCCCACCCCAACCCCACACACACCCCACACCCCACACCCTCCAATTTAAAAAATTGAAGGGGGTGACAACCATTATTGGCATGAGTATATAACAGACATTTAATAGACAGTCCATGTTGCTCTTGTGGATATCAGAGTGAAAACGCCCTACACTACTTTCTCACTTCATAAGAATTAATATGTGGTTTACACTACCCGTAATAACCTGGATACCATTTTGAACGGAAACAAAGAATTTACTCCTTGTGTAAACCAGAAAATAGTTGAATCCGTCCACGATTATATCATCAAGGCCCAACGCTTCAAATTTTCTCAGGATAATACTTAAATTAACTCAGCAACCTTCTCATGATTGATTTACATCCCTATAATAGCTTGTTAGACACACACAACTGTAACTCTCTAATTATGACTACTTAGAGAATAGTTGCATTTGATGTAATCTGTATATATTTATATGTACTTAAAAATATATTTATGCAATAGTCAATATCGATGACGTCACATCCTCCATTTCATTTCGTATTTTATGTTGCATGGGAGCAGTGTTAACATAAGCAGTAATGCTTGTTAACCAATCCCAATTCATTTTCATAATTAATAATAAAATATGTTTAAACCAAAATGACTTGCAAACTTCATAATAGTCAATAAAAATGTGCTATCATAATTACATACTCTTCTGAATAAATAAAATATTTAATGAACTATTTCTTCTGTGTAAATATAATCTTTGATAATCTATGTCATTAGTCAACTCATCAATGGACTATACCTCCTGTGGGTACTGGGCTGGGCTGATCCCACTTTCATTGTAGGGATGTGGAAGCACCACCTATGTGCACTGAACCATTAATTAATGTGTTTCACAACTGGGAGTTCTCACAACTGGGAGGATACCGTAAGGTTACCAGCAGTAGATCAGTGACGACACTTACACAATGCATTAGTAACCACTTCAGTCACCGCAAGCCGAAGAATACAGGTTAGGAAAATAGGCGAATGCTGACGAATGTGACTCAATGCTGTGGGGTAAATAGTATCATAATGCGCGTTGAATTGAGCAATAAACTAGATCTAGAGTTCAATAAATGTTACGTATCAAGAGTTGGCAAATACCTACACGGGGTCTACTTGACGTGTACGTCCTATGGTGGAGATGACGGAACGGTCATAAAGCTCTACTAGATGTATATGTAGATACAGAGTTGACACCCCGGGTGTTCGAGCTCGACCTATAGTCCGATCACTGAGACAGTGGGTATCGGGTATAAAACATGGGCTGATTTACTTCCTATCGGTTTCCATCCTGGCTGCCATTCTATTGTTGCAAGGGTGGGGCAGATTGGTTTCTGATACCGTCAGTCAAACTGGCATATCTCAAGTGACATATTCGGCCGGGAGTGGGCGTGGCGTGCTATCACTTACCCCAAACAGTAAGTTGGGACAGGGGAGAACAGGAATATATCGCAAACGTTTAATGTAACTTGTAATCTAAGATATACTTTCTATGAGGCCTGCGCTGCACGGTCTGGTGCCCAGTCTAGGTCTAGACGTTGTAATTAGCTCCTTGTGGAAACTGAGACATTGTCTCTGTAATTTAGTTAGTCAGTTATTGCCAGGTGATCAAGATGATAAAGCCGTGTTAGCGGACAAATAGAGTGGAGTTTGAATGACCTGATTTAAACTTGCTGATAAGCTTCAGCTTAGTTCTCTTGAAGTGTGTTCTGTCATATGTCTATATCATATGTCCTCGCGTTTTCATGTGGTTGTTCAGCTCGGAATGAAGGCGCATGCCAAGCACTCTGTGCTCTACGTACATATACGTAGATATTTTATGTCCGCTTCAGTCGATCTTGTCAGATTGTTTGTTTGTTTGTTTGTTGCATAACGCCGCTCTCAGCAATCTAACTATATAACAGCCGTCTGTTAATAATCGACACTGGACCTGACAATCCAGTGATCAACAACACGAGCATCGGTATACGCTAATGGGATACGGTGACACGCACGATCAAACAAGCCAGTCATAATCATGGGGTGCTGAAGACCAATTCTGAGCAGGATCTTCACGGGTAGATCTGGTCAGATGGTTTTAGTCTGGCATCCTTTTACTATTGATTACCTACCCAGCTAAAACACAACGTCTTCACAACGTTGTGGGGAGGTTGTAGATTGGTAACGTCATGACACGACGTTGCACGACAACGTGAAATTGTTAGCTGGGTATGTATGTATGTATGTATGTTATGTATGTATGTATGTATGTATGTATGTATGTATGTATGTATGTATGTATGTATGTATGTATGTATGTATGTATGTATGTATGTATGTATGTATGTATGTATGTATGTATGTATGTATGTATGTATGTAGGTATGTATAACACATTTAGTATCAATATAAATAACAATGTTGTCTGTTTAGATATAGAATCGATTTAGTGATCGGGAAATGAATAAATGATATAGATCTCAGATATTAATAGATATGTTGTCATATGAAACAACGGGTTGTTTTTTTTATTTCATGGTATGATATAACGGGAATGATTATCAAAATAGTATTTCATAGACAGACAGATTATTGTAGTGTCTCCAAAAATATTTCAGGTTGAATTGAGTATCAAAAGGAATATTAACCTAAAGGGATTACGCTTATCTCTTATCTGGACAAGGTATAAGTGTAAGGGCCGAGACAATGAATGTCGATCATTTCACGTTAAACATTTCTTTCTTCTGTTTGAATATTCGTGTATTTTTAACTCAACACGAGTAACAATTTAGAATCGAAATCATATAGAATCTAATACGACATAATCGAATATAGTTTCCATCAAGATTATTTCTAGCGACTTGCCACCAATCCTGTTACCTCCCTTAGCGCACCTGACAACACTTCCGGCGAAGAGACGCTTCAACCTGCTAATCAAGCTATTGAATGAAAATGGCAATTTATAATTATGTTTGGGTTGTCTTCGCTTGGGTATGCGTGCCAAGCATTTTGCATGGTGCCAAAGAGACGCCTATGCCAAAGGACATTTCTAAAGGTGCACACGGATGTAATATTGCAATTATTCGATAAGGGGGGTCCATATTGATATCGGTACATGAAAATAATGCGACTGTCGTCTCGGTTCAGTGAACATGATCGTGTATGCTTTGTGTGTATATAAGTTTCTAGCTCTCATCCCTGGCTAAGAGTACTAAAAGCTCGTGTTAACAGACCTTTTTACAGGAGAATTCCTCCAATTTGAAAGTCAATTAGTCATTGTCTTTCGAAGTTGACGGAGAAAATATGTGAAATGCTAGACAGATTACATGTATATGCGATTTTTAGGGATAGGATATTCCTAAGGGTAGCCCATGTTATCATATGATTGTTGCTCAAAAGTTGTTTGATTGGGTTGCAACATTAAAAAATCCCAGCAAAAGTCACAAACTTTGTGTGTAGTCACATGAAGAACCAGGGATTGGGAAAGGCAGGGGCCATGGGCCATTTTGCACATTAGAATAAAAAATGGCCCATTAAAATTTTGAAGTATACTATTAATACAAGGGCAGTGTCCCCTTCTAAATTCAGAAAATGGCTAATAATCCTGAAAATGGCCCATTGTGAAAGTTCTTTATCCCAGTCCCTGAAGAACATTCACAAATTGACGCATCAGTGAAAACATAATGTCAGATGCAATTGTCTCTTTTGACATGTATCATGTGTTTTTTCGTGATCAACTCACTTACCTCTGTATGTGTCTGCGATGGGTGCCTCTGTTTGGCCAGGATATACTCAACCTATCACGAGTACTCAGTTACTATTTGATACTGATTCATTCACTGTTTGACAGTGATTCATCAACACATATTCATGATATAGCATGAATTTTAACATGGTCTTGGGTTTTAAGATTCATGGAAATGGTTTTGTCATTTTTTGTTCCACTACAACTCTGTACCTTTTGTTTCAGAAATTTACTGTGTAGGGTGTGAATACACAGTGAAAGGTAATGCATCTTCTTCATATAATATTGTGATAGATGAACTGTATAATTATCAGAAACATGGTTGTTGAGTACATCGTGAAAATTGTATACATTTTTTTAAACATTTTATGACACTTGTCCATAAAAAAATTCTAACTCCACATTGGTCATACTTTACTAGAATGATTGCCCTGCAAATTCTGTTGATTCTTTTCTTTACCTATACAGGTTTCGAAATACCCCATATATTAGTATTTTTATCCCTGTATACTTTATCACTGAAACAGAAGTAGGAATGTTATCACCTTGATAATTTGTTTGACAGCTTTGGACAAACTGCTGAAAGTACGATCCGAATCAGACACACTGGACATTCAAGTTGCAGAGGCTATTGAAGCTGTTTGTGACAAGAGTCACTTCAGTGGGGCAGAAATGTCTTCTGACAATCTCTTAAAGGCCTGCAGATTTTTAACAGGTGGGAGTTTATCAATGTGTATCATTCTAGGAAGCTTTGCAAACCATCAGCAATATTCCTGCAATATTATGGCATGGAGAAGGACATCAGGATTAACAGCCTGACCTTGGACCCATGTAAATATTTATAGTTATCATTATAAGTTACAAGTTATATCACACTTGAGAATTACATCTGTTGAATGTGTTGATATATTCCTTTACCTACTAACTACCTCTTTGACGTCTAATCATGCCAGTGTTACATACATCAGCTGTGTTATGTGGTTACTGCAGACAATGTTGAGTGTTTCCCCTGCATTCACTTCCAGAGACACATGAAGACATCCTAGAGCCTCTCCTGGTCAGCCATTACAGCCGCACCTACATGGCCTCCTATCTCGACCTGTCACAGCAAGTCTGTGTCGATCTCACCATGGCATGTGTTGGAGTCTCAGGCACAAAGAGATTCCCATCACATCTGGTTAGTGTTAGTTTCATCACCTTGAATTGAATATGCCAAGATTACTGACACTTCCTATAATAAATCAAATATATCCACACTAAGGGTTATGGTCACCAGATGTCCATCATCTTCAGTGGTCATTACTGTAGGTTATGAGTTTACTGACTTTGTTACTTTGTTGTCAGGACTCGGATATAGAATTTGATCCAGAGATGCAGAGCTTCAGAGTCAAACCAGGACGCAGTCTACGTATTCCGGAGCCGGTAGATGCTGGCCATGAAGAACTGTGACATGTCTCCCTCCATCGGCTGTCGTGTCAATAATGCATCATTGTTTGAATATAAGCATGTAAGTCAAGTTGTCCCTGTCACAGCCTTAACACCAAGAGGTGAAGATCTGAAGGTACCTCGACTCATATAGCAGCAAACCACAGCACCCATGACCATGCTTGATATCGAAACATTGCATTCTTATGGTTGTTGGAGAATTTCATTTTTACATGGGTAAGAAATGTTGATATTTTTATCTGTTTTTGTTCTTAAGTGAGAATGTTCTCCGTTAATCAGAGGCTTCTTACACACTGTTGTTTTATATCGATATTTTCTTGTAGAATCTGGATGATAACTATATTATTTTTACACCATGTACATAGACAAGACATTGAATCATGTTTCACAGAAGTGTCTGTACTGAAATTTGTACACATGATTGTATGTTATATTATGAAACAACCGTTTTGTCAGTCACCCAACGAAAAGAGAAAGAAGTCATCAAGTTTAAAGTCTGGTATCCTTTTAACAGTATTGTGTACAACCGTTCCTTCTGTGTAAGGGACTTGAGGTGGTTCCCCCCTTGCCTTCATGTATGGACAACATTATTAGCTGCCTTCAATTCTTCAGGGTAATATATCACAATGTTCACATACCCTGGCATCACTGTCTGTGTAAACATGACTTCTCTGTTGGTATTGTTTGTGTTATAGTACACAACTTAGGTAAGGATTCAGATATGCAGTTAGCTCACCGGTATGTCATGTCACCGAGTATTACAGATAGTGTATGTTGTCTGGAGGGTATGAAGTAGAGTCAGGTCCTTATGCCACAGCCTATTCTTCGTTGTCCAGTGTGGCAGGTCTCCATTCTATGGTGAAAAATACTTACACACTGTGCCATGGTTGTCAGTTGGAGTAGGATATATATAAAAAAGAACTGCTTTATATAAGAGACTTGGTAACTGGGGATGTGTTTTATATGAACGGGATTACCCTAGGGTCCTGAAAATGGGAGTCATTTTCACTCCCTCTGTCTTCATGGGAGTAATATGCTTATAATAGAGGTCATTTTTTTCTTTAAAAAGACTTTATGCTATAATGTGAGAAAATCAATTCACTGATTCAGAAGCAATTACTAATCAATCATACCCATGTCAGTATGTGATAATGCAAAATTATTTTCAAACTGAAAATTAAATCATGTCAATTTGCATATATATTATTTCAAAAATTATATCGAAATGGCTAGACAAGATGGGCGACTGAATGTATATAACAGAGAATATGTTAACACATAATTTGATCTTAACTTATTTCTATTGGTATCCAAGTGTCAGTGTGTTGTTTTTGATGGTACTTATCATGAGAATCGGTTAACTTGCTGTTGCATCACATCAACCCAGCAGCAAAATAACCTTAGTATATCCAGCACAGACTGCATAAAATACTCACCATTTCTGTGTCAGGGCTTGAATGTGTTTTTTGTGACTTGATGACTATGATTATACCCAATTAGGCATCATGCACCCTTCTCTAATAATATGATTTGTTTATTAAAGCATGTCTCACTCATGAGGAGAGAATCTCCACCACTACTTCACTACTTCCACCACTACATCTATATACTATTTAATTTGTAAACAATATAAGTAACCAGAAGAGACCTGAGAAGTTGGTATTCAATTTTGTTACAGGAGGGAAGATTGGTGCCAGGCATTGCCAAATAATCATTCCGATACAAACAGGCCTACAATTGCTACTGCTTCAGGTCTGTCTGTTCCCAGAAAGTCAGTCTTAGTTGAAAAATGTGGTGCTTGAGATGCTGCCTTACAACCACTAGTATCTTAGTCTGTAGTGATGTCCATTGTAAATATACCCAGTGTTACAGAAAACGTGCCTGCTTTGGTTTTAGCATGGTACTTGTCCATTTATATACAGGAACCAGTTTCAAGCTGTAACCATGGCAATGTAAAGTTTGGTGACGCCCTCATCCTCTGCTAATCTGGAATCGACCAAACTGTATGGTAGTCGCTAGGCTGTTTGTGAACCAGATGTCAGTATCGTCTCACAATTTTGATTTGAGTTTTCATAGACTCCTATGTCCAATTAGATGCTTGATTGGCATTTTAGAAGATGCTATTTGATGAACATAGAGATTTTTTCTGGGTTACATCTTCTTTTTATTCTTGAGTACAATGTTTCAGGGCTTGTTCTGGCCCATTTGTCAGGTAAAACTGAACAAGCCCTGACTGTTCAGTTTCAAGAATAAAAAGAAGATGTAACCCAGAACAAATCTCTATGTTCATCCTTTGAATCCAAGAAATATACACCAAATATGATTCCAGCCAAATTTGGCAATAGAAGTAACTGGTATGTTGTTACTCCCTCAGTTGACTCCCTTGTTTGGGAAGGGGCCACTTAAAGCATACCTGTAACCTTAGTACATGTACGCTCATTATATCTGTATATCTATATATATATATATACATGTATATACAGCTTTCAAGTATAGCTGTAACCATGGCAATCTCAATATATCTGTATATATATAGTTTTTAAGCACAGCTGTAACTATGTCAATTTCAATATATCTGTATATATACAGTTTTTAAGCACAGCTGTAACTATGTCAATATCAATATATCTGTTTATACAGTTTTTAAGCACAGCTGTAACTATTTCAATATCAATATATCTGTTTATATACAGTTTTAAGCATGGCTATAACCATGCTAGTCATTATGTATCTGTATATTATATGCAGCATTTATGAACACCTGTAACTAAGGCAATCTGAATATATATGTGCATAATATACAATATTCAAGCATGCTGTGGCAGTCGTCTCAGTCTCTTCACTTTCTGTATCCATGGCTCTTACTAGACACTCATTTACCCTTTACAAGGTATACGTCCATATAGTACGTAGCTAGTCATCTTTATCGTTTGCAGTGTCTAAGAATTGCCAGTCTCCCAATGTGTGTTGATGGTCGTACATGTTTTGCCTTAGTTGTAGGAAATATTAGATTGAGGCAGTGAATTCAGGATTGGCGCTAGTTTTTCAGTGGCATATATTTCTAATATTAATTGGAAATCCAGTTATGACATGGTCACTGAATAGCTCAACGTATTTGCCAGAATTGTACTTATTTTGATGCTGCATTACATTAAACTTAAATTCTTGCATACCTCATAATTTTACAATCAGTGTAATAATTTCTCATACATCTCTGTCTTAGAAGTAATGTTTATGTGTATCACACAATTATGAATGCTGTGTTTCCTGAAACATACAGACATCTGTCAGCTTTAACCACATGTGTACATGGGTTTCCTCCATCGACGTGTGAGTCAGACTATTATACACCTCAAGCATACCTGCTACCATCACAAAGCAATAAACTTTTATATTTATCACTTTCCTAAAGCAGTTTTGTGTTGTATATTCAAACTTGATGAAGTTAACTTGGCTTCCAGGGCAAGTTGGTGTTGACTGCTCTGCAAGGTTATGTATACACTCTCACCGTGTCCTGCCCTGACACATGGCCTGCCCAACACTGAACATAGGTTGAACCATTGCCCTCTATTCACCCAGGAACTCATTTCTGCGCCTAATGTGCAGCTTGGGGGATATACTTCCCAGGAAGCTGGGATTATTTGAAATGAATAATGATCTGCAATTATTTGGATAATAGTGCAGCACCATGAGCAAGTCTTAGGGTGATGATACCGTGTCATTTAACCTTGCTGTATCAGGTGCCTCCTGATTTCAATATCCAGGAGTGAGTGTGTGATTGCTCTTCACCTCCTTGGACAACAACATTCCTGTGACATCTCTGCAAACAATCCATTGTTAACTAGTGTTTGAGCGTGAGCACAGAAATCAGGGTAGTTGACTCAGACGACCAACAGCCTTCCGTCAGCCACTATCGGTCACTGTGGACTAGTTCCTCCATGGACACCAGGAAAACAGACTCTAGGTTAGGCAGTGTAGTTTATTGTATGTACAAGTCGATATCACAGGAACATGTCGGCTCCACAAAGCTGCCGTAGAGGTCACTGTGGACTAGTTCCTCCATGGACACCAGGAAAACAGACTCTAGGTTAGGTAGTGTAGGTTATTGTATGTACAAGTTGATATCACAGGAACATGTTGGCTCCACAAAGCTGCCGTAGAGGTCACTGTGGACTAGTTCCTCCATGGACACCAGGAAAACAGACTCTAGGTTAGGTAGTGTAGTTTATTGTATGTACAAGTCGATATCACAGGAACATGTCGGCTCCACAAAGCTGCTGTAGAGGACACTGTGGACGGAATATTCATGATGGTTGTCCCCCAAGGTCACCTACTGAGTGCCATTAACCATGTTTTAACATGCTGGGATTACATTTCTATAATGCAGATGGTCAGTGGGATAGGTACTAGATCACCCAGTAGGTGATGACAATACTCAAATATTTCTGTTAATATGAACAGGAAAGTTAAGAAGGTGTCTCAACATGGACAAACTGTGGAAATGGGATACATGTATTAATTCACATGTTGAATGCCATAATTAAGAATCTTAATTGGTTGATCATAGAAACGGTGCGGCTTGTTTTGAATTATTGCGCTGAAAGATGCTTGTCTAGTTTTTCGCATGTCAATCATTAAATATTCAGTCTTAGGCAGTTATGTTTGGCATGCACATTTAGATGAACTGACTTTTACAAACTTTGGGGTTTATGGAGTTGTAAACATTAGCATGTTTGTTAGTTTCACATCCACCTACTGGGGATCAGAGTAGCAGACCACTGAAGGAGTAACACTAGGACTCCCTCATACTGAACTCTCTGGACATAGCTCCTAGTTCAGTTGAAGCAGAATACTTTTGAGAAGTCGAGCTTCAAAAGCAACAGTGTTTCTCCCAGGATGCATTGGTTCTTCCTCCAACGGCTGCTCTATAACAGCTTTCACATCACGCCCGTACACTACAACAGAACATGACACGGTCAAGAGTGAAGTCAACCTCATCATTCTCACAACTGAAACAATATACGTACATAAACAGTTCTAATGTGATGGCTCAAGTTTGTCCGACTACACCGAACAGATAATCCATGTAGCACTGTCACCATGGTCTGTCAACAGCAAGTACAGTACCTAGTAGCAGGCCAAACTTTACCATGGCTACTCATTACCCTATCCAGAGAACAGTTAAAGAAGGCAAGAAGTATACACATTCACAAATACATGTACATTAAAGATAGTGTTCAAAATGCTTAGGACTTTGTGACGTGACACAACAGTAGAGTCACAATACTCCAGGAACTGGATGAACTCCTGAATGACACAACAGTACTTAAATTCACAGCACTCCAGGAACTGGATGCACTCCTGAATGACACAACAGTACTTACATTCACAGCACTCCAGGAACTGGATGCACTCCTGAATGACACAACAGCACTTACATTCACAGCACTCCAGGAACTGGATGCACTCCTGAATGACACAACAGTACTTACATTCACAGCACTCCAGGAACTGGATGCACTCCTGAATGACACAACAGTACTTACATTCACAGCACTCCAGGAACTCCTGAATGACACAACAGCACTTACATTCACAGATGCTGGACTCCTGAATGACACAACAGTACTTACATTCACAGCACTCCAGGAACTGGATGCACTCCTGAATGACACAACAGTACTTACATTCACAGCACTCCAGGAACTGGATGCACTCCTGAATGACACAACAGTACTTACATTCACAGCACTCCAGGAACTGGATGCACTCCTGAATGACACAACAGTACTTACATTCACAGCACTCCAGGAACTGGATGCACTCCTGAATGACACAACAGTACTTACATTCACAGCACTCCAGGAACTGGATGCACTCATTCACAGCCCCAGGAACTGGATGCACTCCTGAACCACAACAGTGAGGAACTGGATGCACTCCTGAATGACACAACAGCACTTACATTCACAGCACTCCAGGAACTGGATGCACTCCTGAATGACACAACAGCACTTACATTCACATTCAGGAACATGCACTCCAGGCACTCCAGGAACTGGATGCACTCCTGAATGACACAACAGCACCTACATTCACAGCACTCCAGGAACTGGATGCACTCCTGAATGACACAACAGTACTTACATTCACAACAGTCCAGGAACTGGATGCACTCCTGAATGACACAACAGCACTTACATTCACAGCACTCCAGGAACTGGATGCACTCCTGAATGACACAACAGTACTTACATTCACAGCACTCCAGGAACTGGATGAACTCCTGAACGACACAACAGTACTTACATTCACAGCACTCCAGGAACTGGATGCACTCCTGAATGACGGAGTCCCTGATCATGATCATGTGTTTGGTCATGTTTTCTATGAGCGAGAGGAAGCAGCGTTTAGCATAGAACCAGGTGTCTGTGCCAAGCTTCTTGTTGTATGGCTCCAGGCTTTTGATGACTCGTGAGATGCCGAACTCATAGTTGCCCTTGGCACAGTACAGAGTTCTGTGAGACATACAGGCTTGAGATTGTACTTACTAAACTTTTATTGTTAGATCATCTTTACCTGTCATCTCTGTCCTTCTTAAGGAAATTAACACAATACAATAGAATAAGTTAGGCTAGAAAACTATGAACATGTTCTATCTACTTGTCCTAATGCCACAGAGAGGGCCCATCTACACAAAGCAATCTTAGCATTGTGGAAGTCTTACGTCTTATGCTTATGTTAAGCTGTAGCACATCAACGATCTTTACTCTTATTCTTTAACAGAGATGCATGACAGACACAGCGCCATGACCATCATAACTGCAATACGTATACACACTTATGACTGATGACAGTCATGGCGCTGCCATCAAATTTGGAAACTAGGCCAAGGAGGGGAAAACCATTAGTACTGTCATAAGCAAGATGATATGAAGTATATAACTTCATACAAGACATGCCTAGTGGTTTCGGTTACTATGGTTATGGAAACAGTTGCCAAGGAGACTCATTCTTACCCTATAACAAGGTTGACAATACACAGGTGGTATATCTTCTTGTCTGGATCTTCATACGCAACCTGCTCCTCCTCTTTTTCGATCTTCCTCATCAGTTCCTCTGCCTGCAAAAACATGACAACAGACACTTGTGAAAACCACATACCACTGTATGCAGGGCTGCAGACAGGTGCACATACCACTGTATGCAGGGCTACAGACAGGTGCACATACCACTGTATGCAGGGCTAGAGACAGGTGCACATACCACTGTATGCAGGGCTAGAGACAGGACCACATACCACTGTATGCAGGGCTACAGACAGGTGCACATACCACTGTATGCAGGGCTAGAGACAGGTGTACATACCACTGTATGCAGGGCTACAGACAGGTGCACGTACCACTGTATGCAGGGCTACAGACAGGACCACATACCACAGCATGCAGGGCTACAGACAGGTGCACATACCACTACATGCAGGGCTACAGACAGGTGTACATACCACTGTATGCAGGGCTACAGACAGGTGCACATACCACTGTATGCAGGGCTACAGACAGGTGCACATACCACTGTATGCAGGGCTACAGACAGGTGCACATACCACTGCATGCAGGGCTACAGACAAGTGCACATACCACTGTATGCAGGGCTACAGACAGGACCACATACCACAGCATGCAGGGCTACAGACAGGTGCACATACCACTACATGCAGGGCTACAGACAGGTGTACATACCACTGTATGCAGGGCTACAGACAGGTGCACATACCACTGTATGCAGGGCTACAGACAGGACCACATACCACTGTATGCAGGGCTACAGACAGGTGCACATACCACTGCATGTAGGGCTACAGACAGGTGCACATACCACTGTATGCAGGGCTACAGACAGGTGCACATACCACTGCATGCAGGGCTACAGACAGGTGCACATACCACTGTATGCAGGGCTACAGACAGGTGCACATACCACTGTATGCAGGGCTACAGACAGGTGCACATACCACTGTATGCAGGGCTACAGACAGGGACCACATACCACAGCATGCAGGGGCTACAGACAGGTGCACATACCACTACATGCAGGGCTACAGACAGGTGTACATACCACCACTGTATGCAGGGGCTACAGACAGGTGCACATACCACTGTATGCAGGGCTACAGACAGGACCACATACCACTGTATGCAGGGCTACAGACAGGTGCACATACCACCACTGGGCTACAGACAGGGCATACCACTGTATGCAGGGCTGCAGACAGGTGCACATACCACTGTATGCAGGGCTACAGACAGGTGCACATACCACTGTATGCAGGGCTACAGACAGGTGCACATACCACTGTATGCAGGGCTACAGACAGGTGCACATACCACTGCATGCAGGGCTACAGACAGGTGCACATACCACTGCATGCAGGGCTACAGACAGGTGCACATACCACTGTATGCAGGGGCTACAGACAGGTGCACACATACCACTGTATGCAGGGCTACAGACAGGTGCACATACCACTGCATGCAGGGCTACAGACAGGTGCACATACCACTGCATGCAGGGCTACAGACAGGTGCACATACCACTGTATGCAGGGCTACAGACAGGTGCACATACCACTGTATGCAGGGCTACAGACAGGTGCACATACCACTGTATGCAGGGCTACAGACAGGTGCACATACCACTGTATGCAGGGCTACAGACAGGTGCACATACCACTGCATGCAGGGCTACAGACAAGGTAAGATACCACTGCATGCAGGGCTAGAGACAGGTGCACATACCACTGCATGCAGGGCTACAGACAGGTGCACATACCACTGCATGCAGGGCTACAGACAGGTGCACATACCACTGTATGCAGGGCTACAGACAGGTGCACATACCACTGTATGCAGGGCTAGAGACAGGTGCACATACCACTGCATGCCGGGCTACAGACAGGTGCACATACCACTGCATGCAGGGCTAGAGACAGGTGCACATACCTGTATCAGCTAACAAGTGATACTGACTGACTGAGTTTGGTTTTATGCCGCTTTTAGCAATATTCCAGCAACATCACGGCGGGGGACACCAGAAATGGGCTTCACACATTGTACCCATGTGGGGATTCGAGCCCGGGTCTTCGGCGTGACGAGCCAACGCTTTAACATTAGGCTACCCCACCGCCCCCCTAACAAGTGATAACTAACATTACGTGCTATGTATAAACTGATGATGCTGATGTCACCAATAAATAGATGCTGTTATTATATCTTACATCTTACATCCAGTTTTTTTCTCAAATTTTTTTTGTCAGGATTACAGTTATACACAATTATGTTAAGACCAGGCTGTTGGGTAGGAGTGGTCTTACCTCCTCGTTCTGGCTCGTCATGATGTAGGAGACACATAGATTGGCCAGGACGATGGCACTGACACTCAGTAGCTGCAACAGAGAGGAACACTGACAGAGTCGAGAACTCAACAACTTACAAAGGACAGGAAATAATTTTCTGTTTATTTTCAAATCACCATTTTGCCTGAAAACTGAAAAAAAAGGAAACAGATTTTCTCAAAGATAGCACAGAGATAGGTTTGAGAAACTACGTAGGTACATTTGGAGAAGGATTCACTCACATTGTCATAGTTCTTCTTGACAATGGGCTCATAGAAGCCTGTTGCCTCCTTGTATTTGTTCTCCTGCATGAAGAGCACATGTGCAACGTTCAGCTTCCACGCATCATGCTCGTTACAGAACTCAACAGACTTGCGGAATATCTTCTCCACCTGCTGGTAGTTCTCCATGTCCCAGTAGATCTTAGCCTGCTGCATCAGGATGGGGATATACCTGCAGCACACACCATCAGGATACACACACATACACAGACTATCAGGTTACACACATGATCATGAATACACAGACACACACCATCAGGATACACACACATACACAGACTATCAGGTTACACACACATACACAGACATCAGGTTACATACACAGACTATCAGGTTACACACATGATCATGAATACACAGACACACACCATCAGGAATACACAGACACACACCATCAGGATACACACACATACACAGACTATCAGGTTACACACATGATCATGAATACACAGACACACACCATCAGGATACACACACATACACAGACTATCAGGTTACACACATGATCATGAATACACAGACACACACCATCAGGATACACACACAAACACGTACTCATTATTTAGATCAACCCCCAGCTGACGGCTGATGATTCACTTCAAATTGGAAACCTGTATATATTAATTATCTCACCTCTCCAGGGCCTCATCATACTCGTTAACAGCTCGCTTGACTGCATCGGTCGTCGTGATTCTGTCTGGCTTCCTGGACCTACATAACAACATTAAACTTAGCACCAACATGCACATACCATATCATGAGGCTTTGTATCTGGCACTGATAGCCTTGGAGTGAACACATGTAAGCTGGGGTCATTATGTAAGTAGAGTATTTGTATGGGTTGCAAGTGGGTGGTGTGAGAGACCATTGTGTGTCTCTGGGATGTGAGCTTGTGGTCAATTAAGTTGTGTAATACAACTTGGGAGGTAAAGATATTTCAACTCTGAGCCTGACATACTACTAACGACACTTAAATTATTCAAATGTGAAGGTTAAATCAAGGTGAAAATTTAAAACATCACAAAGAACAACATATATCTTGAATCTACTGTCTACAAACACATAGGAATTTCATTTCAGAAAATGGGCAAACATGCATGCCACTGTGCCTCTCACTTTACCTGTTTAGTTAGCTTGCGAAGTGTTTCTGTTTGTTTGGAGGCCATCTCGTCCAGCTTGCGATATGCCTCTTCCGGGGAAGTCTGTCGTGTGATGACTGCCTCGAGGAAGTCATACAGGTACTAACAGACAAATAATCAGTGTGAGAGTTATTTTTCAACATTACCTTCACAATCTTCAGGCTACATAATAATGCTGTTCATTACCGACTATGTAATACTGTAATACTCTAAACACAAGGGGCAGATAGCACTGCATGTGACATACACCTTGGACTTGGCTTCTGTGAAACTAGAGATGCATATACATACAGTTGTCATGTGCATTGCACATATATGATTGCTTTACCAGCCATGCTGAGGTATTGTATGTGAGATGGCTAACCTCGGTCAATACAGGCACTCAATATGAGACTTACAGCTATCAGCTCGTACAAGGAAGTAGGGCTTACCGGGGTGAGGTACTTGTATGTGAGATGGGCATTCTCAGCCAAGACATCAGCTGCTAGATCATAGTACTGAAAGAAAAGATCATACTGGTGGTAAACAGGTAGATAACATGGTAACTAGAGCCCTACAGCTGCACACTGATGAAGCAGGTTTGTATATACTGAAGCATTATACCTGGAACATAGAGTCAATACACGTGCAGTCCATCAAATATCAATCTCATCCTTGATCAAGAATTACAATTTGCTGCATGAAAACAGTTTTCTAGTATCTCTGAACTCGTACTGGTTCTTGGAACTACTAAACTAGAACTTGATGAAGTGACCTCCACCCTGAACTACTGACCTCATAGTCAAAGTACTGTCATCGTACTTGTGGTACTGACCTCGTACTTGATGTAGAGCAGTAGAAGGTTGCCGAATGTCTCCGGAGGGAAGGGGTTCTGCTGCAGCAGGAACTGCATCTTCTGGAATCCCTGTGTGGCATTCTGCTCCATGTTCATTAGACCCTGGTTGTGCAGAGTCACTGCGTCCAACTCCTCTTCTGATCGTGGTGGCATATCTGTCAAGGCCTCGCAAGCTGCCTCAACTACAACAAGAAGAGTTCATTTTTCAGAACCAGAGAATAGAAAACATGTCCACACAGTATAACATAGCAAGAATTTTCTGACTTTTGTTGACTATTTAAGAAAACATTAAACACAAATCGTTACACAATTTTTCAGCAAACTATGCATTATACATTCAGGATTTTTATTGGTAATCGGGTATACTAAAGCTTAACATATGCAAACACTACAACAAAACAATTTGGTGAATGTATTTTTGACGAAACTCTTGACTTATTGAATCTACATCACCACAACCATACAGTTCCCTGATCAAAAAAGCTGCATCTGTGCCGACATGTATGCATGATGTGTGCATGATAATGTAACTCACAGTTTTTCAGTTGGTATTCAATGGCCGCCTTGAGATTGAAGGCCTCGATCAGTGCTGTCTCATGGAGGGTCAGTGTGTTACCGACGCTGCGTACATCAATACCCTCCGTTGTCATGCCAACACTAAGTTCTGAAACAATACACCAAGGATTTAGAAGTCAACCGCTAGTGAATGGTGTTGGACACTCGTACTGCGGTACTTGTGGAAGTTGTGGTACTGTACCTGGGTGTTCCCGGATGCCCCTCTCTATGATGTCTGCGATGTGTTTGAGGGCCGGGGCATACTGCTTCATCATGTAGTGACACAGAGCTATATTGTAAGACAGGTCCGGCTTGTAGCCCACAATCTGCATGGCAGTAGAGAACTTCTGACAAGCCTCCTCAAATCTCCCTTCCTGAAACATCATCATAAGAAAACAAATAACAAGTGCACAGCCATATCACTAGCCACAGCTTGTCAAACAACAATCAGTCAGTTTTCGTTGTTTTATTCTAATTCCTGCATTTTGATTGGTTGAACTGGTCGCGTATTTTTTAACCTTAAAACATTAAGCTAGGTCCACCAAAGCAGACCACTTTCATCATAACACAGTGACGGTTCATCCCAATTACATTTGAGGAATTCTGTTTTCCAAATACCTGTAAAATCCCATGTTATCAGGCCTAGATACATGTTTAGTACCAAACATACCAGAAACAGTACTGCCATCTTCTGTTGAATGGCTACTGACGTAGTGGTTGTGTCAAATGATGTATATGAATTACACAGTCACACTATTCATATCACACCACAGTGTGTATTCCTGTGTTTTTTAACCTCGTCATATTAGTCTGCTTTGATTTAATCAGGGAGACTATATAACGGGGAGTGGTCACTCCTCAAAAAGCCCCTTAGCACATGCCTCAGCTCGTCACGTGACTAGTGTAGCCAATATGGCGGCAGCTTAGTTTTTAAGATTGAGCCCGGTTTATTTTCAACAGCTCATTACATTCGCTGAGTGTTGTGACAACTAAAAACCTACATGTAGAAGATAAGTTACCTATTTTGTCACTCCATTTTAAGTCAAAATTGAAAATTTTAATATAAATTGTATATTTATATACTTATCCTATCTCACGATTTGCACTTCTCTCTCTTGCTTCGAACGCTGAGTGGAACGAATGAGAACTTTTCCTGTAGGCCTCTCTTGTCCATACGCCTGTGTACCCCAGGCTGCTCTTCTTTTGGACAGGTCCCTAGTCCCAGGCTAAGCGTGCAGCACGTTCCCCTGTCTACCCACGTGACTACCTCAGAGTGATCATTCTCTTCTTGGAGCCAATGACAGTTATACGTAACCGTCGTAATCTGAGTAGAGAGGAGGCTGGGTGGGCATCCATCTCGTGAGATAGGATAAGTACATAAATATACAATTTATATTAAAATTTTAAAACTTATCCTATCTCACGATTTGCACTTATCCCACGGTTGGACGGCGGGTCACAGATTACCCTAAGTCAAAAGACACTGACAGTATATACTGTATAGGCTAATGACAACCGTAGATAGCAATGAAAAAGGGAGGCCCGGATCTGACTAGCACAGTACTTATACTAGTGATGGATTCTCCTGAACCCCTTGGCTTACTAGGCATCATCGCTCCCAAGGAGTGGGTGCTCCTGAGCAATGTGGTATTCGGCCGCAGGATCCAACTGGCATAGTACCGATACTAGTGATGGGTTCTCCTGAACCCCTTGGCATCATCGCTACTAAGGAGTGGGTGCTCCTGAGCAATGTGGTGTTCGGACGCAGGATCCGACTAGCATAGTACCTATACTAGTGATGGGTTCTCCTGAACCCCTTGGCTTACTAGGCACCATCGCTCCCATGGAGTGGGTGCTCCTGAGCAATGTGGTGTTCAGCAGCAACCCTCGCATACGCAAGAAAACGCAACTAGGCAAGTCACCTTGCTTCGCCATATTTATCAGAGTACCCCCGTAATTACGACTAGTAATCGGGCCCGCACCTGCTTCGAGACAGCCCCCAAGACCCAACCACGAACAGGTGAAAAGGAAACTGAATCGGAAAACTCACAAGTTTAACGTTCAGTACCAAAACAACACCACATGACTTCCACTACTTACCACAGTTAGGTCACAACGGTGTGCTAAGGTACTTAGGAGCTTGAACGCTACGAAATCCATAAGGAAATCGGGAAGGTCACTACGTGCGATGGTTAGTTCGAAACAATTGCTCCCAGAGACCGGGACTCCCGAGCAATGTGGTGTTCAGTCACTACCTTCACGAAAGTGAAAGAACGCAGCTTAGCGAGTGTAATCAGTCGCATTACCACAATTTCCAAGGTACCCCTGTAATAAAAGTCTAATGGCTAGTATCGGGCCAGCCCCTGCTTCGAAACAACCCCCACAGACACCATTCCGAGGAGGGTGAAAGGGTAATTGAATCGGAAAACTCACAATTTTAACGTTCAGTACCACAACATCATCTTATGACTTCCACTACTTACCACAATAAGATCACATAGATGAGTATAGGTACTTAGGAGCATGAACGCTACGAAGTGTAACACTTCGAGAATGACTCACTTCACTGATGTAATTACTCCACAGAGCAGACGACAATAAGTGAGGTGGCAACTCTCCAGAGTCTCAAATTAAATTGAGAGGAGAAATTGAAGTCAATATTCAGATTGTACACAAAGCAGAAACGATCGCAACTGGTGATCATCTGCGCTGAAGCTCATGGTTGTCCCGAGTGGCAAACAGGTCTACCTCTGGTCGTGATAACAAGTTGATTATCGACTGGAATATCAGAGGCAGTTGTTTCCACTCCGTGAGTGACGGGCGTTTGAGACGTGACAGGGCATCGGCAATGGCATTCCTCATCCTGGGAAGAGAGGAAGCTGCAGCTGGCCCCTGTAAGTCAGCGCTTGTGCCGACGTCAACCACCCTAGTAACTTCTGCCACTGGCGAACAGTTGTGGTTTGGACCAGCTCTAGTGGTGCGTTGCACTGAATCTTGTCCCACCTCTCCTGGGGCACAAACAACATGACCTGTCGTGTTGAATATTGTCCCAATAAAAAGAAATCATCGGGTCGGTGTTACCTCCGATTTCTCCGAATTCAGCAGCCATCCTAATTGCGTGAGCAGCTTGATGAACGGCCTGTGGAGAGGAAAGACAACTGGATCCTGCTGGGCTTGAACACAGTCGTCGATAAAGTTCTCAAATGTCACGCCTCGACAATGCAGGTAGCTTGTTATCGGACTGGGTATCTGAGTAAAAAGCCACGGGGCCGTACATATGCCAAACAGCAGGACCCTCCATTGGTATCAGTGATGCCCCTTGAAAGTAAATCGAAGATACTTCCGATAGTCTGGATGTATCGGGATGTGAAGGTAGGCGTCTCGCAGGTCGGGGGGGAAATGAGAGGTCTAACAATTCTTGCCTCTGGCAAAGAGATATCTCCTGATATAAGAATGTTCAATAAGTCGTGCTACTATGTCAGTTCTAACGGGGTGCTGAATATAGTATGTTCGGCGCATGGAGATTGTCAGTCAATCTACAGGAACGTTCACATTGTAAAGGAATTGAAGAAATTCGTACGATCGGCGACCTCAGGAACGTTTCGGTTGGCCGAACAAAATGATGGTTCGCCAGGTGGAGTGATAAAGGTAGTAGATCGCTGCCTGGTGACAGTCCATGCATAACTGCAGTGACCTCTGAACTCAGTGCTTGAGCTAGTCAAACCGTTCACGGGTGTTTCTGTCTGTCACCCTCGATAAGCAGTCTCTCTCGACTGACTGTCGAAATCCCGACACAATCACTCTTACCGGGGAATGGCACCATTCATTGTTACTAGCATTTAAAGGCTGGACTTGATATCCGATTCGTTGGACCAAGACAAGTCTGCAAGGGCACTTAATAGTCACTCTAATCATCAAAATTCCGGTAAACAAACAGTAGTCCGCCATTTGCAAACGTTACACACGAGTGACAAAAAAACGGACAACACGGTGTTGAAAACTAGCAGAGTTCGACAAATTTGGCCCTATCTACATGCAAGTTCACGCACCTCGTTGAGGATGTGGAAAACCAGTGTTGACAAGTCCCTATCCTTCATGTTGAATGTAATCAATAGAACATCTGGTATCTTGCTCTAGGTAGCTGTAGGTGGTCGTCGAACCATGCGATCATGTGTGTCGAATCAACCAAAACAATTTCTGCATCTTATAGGCGACTGGCGTAGCCCGGAGGGATGGCCGTAGTGTATCATTTATTCTTTCATTCATTCACATATGTATTTCTTTCTTTTGTTCTTTTTCTTTATTTCTTTCATTCATTCACATATAATTCTTGCTCTTAATTCATTCATTCATTGTAAAATTCCGACTGATACAATAAACTGGCTGAAGTACTGTTAAACGCAGCCGAAGTTGCGCTGGGAACGAACCAAGTCACTGTGTGCGTTGGAGCATGATGAGACACACGCTAATTAGTACAAATGTTAAAGAAAGCAAGCGAGTGACCTATCCCTGTTGTAGATTATCCCTGATTTAATGATTGGTTTTGATTAAGCTATTGTTAACAAGAAGATTTGGTCATCAATAACCCCCACCACAGAGCACTGTTCCTATTTGGTTGGAGTTTTTATACATTTAACTCCACCACGACATTCAAACATGTCCTGAAAACACACTTTCACCATACGGGATACCGTGCACTAAGTCAAGAAATGCATGACAAGGGCCATAACTCTGTAACAAATTGTAACACGGTTTCCGTTTTGGAACTCCATCAAAACATTCATGTCCTGAAAAAACATACCACATTTGGATTCTCTATCTACATGTATAACGGTTTCTGAGAAAATCTGTCCCCATAGGGGATACCCTGCACTAAGCCAAGAAATGCATGACAAGGGCCATAACTCTGTAACAAATTGTAACACAGTTTCTGTTTTGGAACTCCATCAAGGCATTCATGTCCTGAAAACACATAACACATTTGGTTTCTCTATCTATAACGGTTTTCTGTGCAAATCTGTCCCCATTGGGGATACCATGCACTAAGTCAAGAAATGCATTACAAGGTCCATAACACATGACAAGGGCCATAATGCATGACAAGGGCCATAACGCATGACAAGGGCCATAACACGTGACAAGGATCAACTGTGTATTTTGTTCGGGTCATTGCGGCATGAATTAAAAAAAACATGACGATTTTAGACAGTCAATCCTCAAAAGAATTTCTGCATAACCTTGCCAACTCCACATTTATTGAAGTTGTTCAAGCCAGTGTCATTTTATGGCTCTAGCAGACTGTTAATAAACCATGTGTCATAATCGACCTGAGCTACGGATAAAACAAGTTCATTCTCCCAGTTCCCTGAGCAAACAAACTTTCACCTTTACACTTGACTTTGTCCAAAAGGAAACATTTATGAATCAAAAGAGATAGTTGGCCCTTTTTCTACCTGTTTACTGTCTAAGAAGAGAAAACATCTTGGTTCTGATGAACAACAAAGGATATGATTAAGACAGATTAAGTTGCAACCACATACTATTTTCTCGTGCAATTAAAACTGTGGCTGTCGATTAATTGAATGAATCAAGAGATGAGACACTCACCTTGAACAGGAGACAGCCGAAGTTGACCTCCGTGTCAGGGTCATCAGCAGGGCACTGCTCCACCAAGCTCTGAAACAATCAACAAGATGTCTCCACCTCTGTTTGTCACTAACACCCCAAAATAGTCACTTGTTGAACCTGTAGTGATGATTCTAACAAACAGGCAAAGTGCTTTTAATAGGAGCAAGCATTTTACACACAGGAAATAATAAGAAGGCAAATGTTTTTTAGTTAGCAAGAGTTTACCCACATTTACAGTTGGATTACTAAATGGGTTAATGTTTGGTATGAACACAAAAGAGGGTGCACACCCGAGCACCCAACCCGAGCACCCACCACCCAGATCTGTGTATAAACATGATGGGTTTGTTGTGATCTAGGTTCATGAAGAGGGTTACCTTGGCTCCAGGCAGATCCTCCTCTCCATACTTGATGGCTGCCTGCAGCTTGGTAATCTGTAAAAACAAACAGCTCACAGGCATCACATGAGACTTGAGGACTCTCATGGGTCAAGAATTATAACTAGTAGAAAATGTTATCTTCAATTTTAGCTTATTTTTGTGAGTTTTGTTTGTGAACAGTATTTCAGTCACTGAGTCAGATTATTGCATGTTAATTGACGCAGGTCTCAGCACCAACAATCCTAGGAAAGGTGCAGATAAACCTAGAAACATGAACAGGGAAAATCTGGATGTCAAGCCACAGGGCAAGTTGCTAACATACTCAAGGGACACAACTCTGCCTGAGTGAGTGAGTTTAGTTTTACGCCACACTCACCAATATTCCAGCTATATGGCGGCGGTCTGAAATAATCAAGTCTGGACCAGACAATCCAGTGATCAACAGCACGAGCATCGATCTGCGCAATTGGGAACCGATGACATGTGTCAACCAAGTCAGCGAGCCTGACCATCCAATCCCGTTAGTCGCCACTTACGACAAGCATGGGTTACTGAAGATCAATATTCCAACCCGGACCTTCACAGGTTCTGTTTGATGAATGGATGCCTACAGGCGACTAGAGGCAGGAGCCCTCTATGACAGAAAAACTAAGCACATAGTCATCACAATGATTTTCCTTGTTATTATCTTCATAAGTGGTATAAATAACACATAAAAGGTAATATGTTCACTAAACCACATACATAGGTTAATCTTATTCAAATCAACATAATCTAAAAGATTAAAGCAATCTGTCTGTTATGACTTAAACTACCGAAGACCCATCTTTAGTCTATTTTTTTAAAAAGACATAAGGGACCAATTAGCAGGCCCAGCAAAGTGAATGAAACTGCACTTATTTTGTCTGTTAGCTAGTGCTGGTGATCATCTAAACTACATACATACAATGACTTCACCACAGGCAAAACAGAACACCAAATAGTACAGCATTATCCCCCTTACTGACAGACAGACACACACATGTGCACGAATGCATGCCCACAGACACACATAATGTATCGTGCGTACCTGTCCCTGGTAAGCTGGATTGTCGATCTGACAGGCCACTTTCATGGCTTCCTGGTAGAGACAGGCTTTATGCAGGGCCTGGGCATAGTACAGACGATACTCCTCCACTTCCGGCTGCATCAGTGTCAGCTGTTCATAACTGTCAGCTGCGTTCACAAAGTCCTGCATCTGGTAGTAGCAGTAGGCCAGCAAGGACAGGGCTGACCGAGACTGGAAACAAAACATGCACATTTTTGAAGTCACCTCTGTAAATATAGTACACTGAGATCAATAGTCAGGAAAGAGAAAGAATTACACTATCAGTCTCTTGATCACAGTTGATATTGTATGGGGAGAATATAACCTATCTTCTACTTATAGTAAAACACACCTAGTGATCTAAAACATGTTGAATACGGATCAACATGATGATAAAATATTCCTAGTTTTGTCAACAGTTAAACCACATGCTCTGGGGATCAAAGAAGGGTTAATTTGAAGAGAGACCATTTCCATTCATCATACAGTTCAGGGGTTTTCAGTTAAAACCGTAGGATCCAACACATTCCCACCTTTGGATGACTCTGTAACTGGTTGTTGAGCAGTTGTACTGCTTCATTATAGCGCTGATCCTTGATCTGCAATAAATATTTCGTGATCAACAGCACAGCACGCATGTCACTATGGTCACTGACTCTCTAAATCACAATACTACATGCAATTAATATTTCTATTCATAACCAAGATAACGTACATCTTTATATGACTGAGGTATTGTTTTAACAGTGCACTTCACAATGTATATCACTTCATTTCAGCTTAATGGGGTAACAAAATCCCAATTGACAGGCAGTTCACACACTATTCGGTAAATCGTTCAACATCATCAACTGTTTACCTTAGTTACAGGCACTTACCAATCCATAAATAGTTGATGTATACTCTCCCTCCTTGAGCTGAAGATGAGCCATGGCTAGGTTGTGTTGTTGTGTCCTATCCGCTTGACCTGTTTAGAATTTCTTGCTGTCGTTTATTTCGATACACTTATGTCAAACCTTACCTACCCGAAAAGTATGCACGCTAATGCGCATGACACCAAGATACGTAACTCTTGTAACTTCCGTTTTACTTCTGAGCTGGTTCCCGTCTCGCCCTGCGCAGCTATGATGATTTATGAGTTGTCACCCAGTTTGCGATGTCTGTAAATATTTTACAGCCGCTTTAATCGGATTCAACTGCGAGAAGGAAAATTGAATACTTACGACAATAGAAAGCCTTACTATCTCCATATGCAATAATCAAAATTAAATGATATTTTTTTCAATGTATATCACGCAATGTGATGAAACGTTTTAATGTCTATTAATGTCATAATTGTTTGTGTTTGTGCCATCACTTTTCACTGTGGACTGAGAAACATTTAAGGGATTTTAAGCCACATGTCAAATGTTATATGAAATTTGACCTCTCCAAACATCTCAGCAACATTTCTGAATATGATACTGCTTGGCAAGAACTAAAACAACACTACCAATATATATTCCGTGTTTAAAACGTATCAATTTACATTCCGTACATCATACGTATCAATGTATACTCCGCCTATCATACGTATCAATGTATAGCTACATCATACATATCAATGTATATTCCGACTTTCATACGTATCAGTGTATAGGCCGGCTATCATACGCCTATCGATGTATTGTTCGTACATCATACATATCAACGTATATTACACCACTCATACCTATCAGTGTACATCCCACCACTCATACGCATCAATGTATATTCAACTGCTTATATCAGTGTATATTCCGCCTATCACGTGTACCAATGTATATTCCGCCTATCACGTGTACCAATGTATATTCCGCCTATCACGTGTACCAATGTATATTCCGCCTATCACGTGTACCAATGTATATTCCGCCTATCACGTGTACCAATGTATATTCCGCCTATCACGTGTACCAATGTATATTCCGCCTATCACGTGTACCAATGTATATTCCGCCTATCACGTGTACCAATGTATATTCCGCCTATCACGTGTACCAATGTATATTCCGCCTATCACGTGTACCAATGTATATTCCTCCTATCACGTGTACCAATGTATATTCCGCCTATCACGTGTACCAATGTATATTCCGCCTATCACGTGTACCAATGTATATTCCGCCTATCATATGTATTCCGCTGCTCAACTTAATATATCAATGCATAATCCACCTATCATACGTATCTCAATATATTCCATTCATAATACATAACAATGTATATTGATGCGAGCAATTGGTGACAGTCTAGTTGTGTAGCTGACAGTCTAGTTATGTAGCAGACAATCTAGTTGTGTAGCAGACAGTCTAGTTGTGTAGCTGACAGTCTAGTTGTGTAGCGGACAGTCTAGTTGTGTAGATGACAGTCTAGTTGTGTAGCAGACAGTCTAGTTGTGTAGCTGACAGTCTAGTTGTGTAGCTGACAGTCTAGTTGTGTAGCTGACAGACTAGCTGACAGTCTAGTTGTGTAGCTGACAGTCTAGCAGACAGTCTAGTTGTGTAGCTGACAGTCTAGTTGTGTAGCTGACAGACTAGCTGACAGTCTAGTTGTGTAGCTGACAGTCTAGTTGTGTAGCAGACAGTCTAGTTGTGTAGCTGACAGTCTAGTTGTGTAGCTGACAGACTAGCTGACAGTCTAGTTGTGTAGCTGACAGTCTAGTTGTGTAGCGGACAGTCTAGTTGTGTAGCGGACAGTCTAGTTGTGTAGCAGACAGTCTAGTTGTGTAGCTGACAGTCTAGTTGTGTAGCTGACAGTCTAGTTATGTAGCAGACAGTCTAGTTGTGTAGCTGTCAGTCTAGTTGTGTAGCAGACAGTCTAGTTATGTAGCGGACAGTCTAGTTGTGTAGCAGACAGTCTAGTTGTGTAGCAGACAGTCTAGTTGTGTAGATGACAGTCTAGTTGTGTAGCTGACAGTCTAGTTGTGTAGCAGACAGTCTAGTTGTGTAGCAGACAGTCTAGTTGTGTAGCTGACAGTCTAGTTGTGTAGCGGACAGTCTAGTTGTGTAGATGACAGTTTAGTTGTGTAGCAGACAGTCTAGTTGTGTAGCTGACAGACTAGCTGACAGTCTAGTTGTGTAGCTGACAGTCTAGTTGTGTAGCAGACAGTCTAGTTGTGTAGCTGACAGTCTAGTGTAGCTGACAGTCTAGTTGTGAAGCGAACAGTCTAGTTGTGAAGCGCACAGTCTATTCAAATGGGATAAAAATTGCTTATACCCGAAAGCGAGTGGATAATGTCATTTGTCCCGGGGCGATATCCCAGAATACATTGTTTACTGGCCATGCTGGGTGTCACAGACATTGTCTACAGCAACCCAACATCAGATAAGCAATACACACAAACATTGTATCGTGGAAGAACAATGTTTCATTTGTAATTGAATTACCTTTACAGGTTGGAGTGGTCCTGTTGTAGTGACCCTCTATGTATCACTTGGGTCACAGTGACCTAAGGGCATAGCTCTCTGTGATGGTGAATTGTTGATGCCTTGACATTATATATTAGTACCACGACTGAGAGAATTCCATGCTTCAAATATCATCAGTGGAATTTAACTTGTTCACTGAATTTGTTTATTTGTCAGATCTTCTTTAACTTCGTTCACTATCGTTTCTTTAAACGTTCCCTGAAACTCACTATCTATTGATCAGCCATTACGGTGTTGGTTTGTAATAGATAGCGGGCATTCTGGGAAGTCCCGATAAGTCCACGGCGCTCAATTCATAGAACATGATGAATTCTCGGAAATAAGGGACGGATTCCTGTTAATGAAATATGATAAGCTCCAGATCTCGGTCGACTTTCACTAGGTGAAGTTGTAATTAAAGGTATTTTTTCATTATAAAATGAGGTTGTGAGTTGTGTGTAACGCCGCTCGGGACAGTATTTCAGTGAAGCATGATATGACAGGCCAACCCGTACCCACTTTAGCTGGCTGTTCACAAACTGGCAAACCCGTACCCACTTCAGCTGGCTGTTCACTAACTGGCAAACCCGTACCCACTTTAGCTGGCTGTTCACTAACTGGCAAACCCGTACCCACTTCAGCTGGCTGTTCACTAACTGGCAAACCCGTACCCACTTTAGCTGGCTGTTCACTAACTGCCCAACCCGGGCCCACTTCAGCTGACTGTTCACAAACTGGCCAACCCGTACCCACTTCAGCTGACTGTTCACAAACTGGCCAACCCGGACCCACTTTAGCTGACTGTTCACTAACTGGCCAACCCGGACCCACTTTAGCTGGCTGTTCACTAACTGGCAAACCGGGACCCACTTTAGCTGGCTGTTCACTAACTGGCAAACCGGGACCCACTTTAGCTGGCTGTTCACTAACTGGCCAACCCGTACCCACTTCAGCTGACTGTTCACTAACTGGCCAACCCGTACCCACTTTAGCTGACTGTTCACTAACTGGCCAACCCGTACCCACTTTAGCTGAGTGCTTACTAACTGGCCAACCCGTACCCACTTTAGCTGGCTGTTCACTAACTGGCCAACCTGGACCCACTTCAGCTGACTGTTCACTAACTGGCCAACCCGTACCCACCACAACAGCTGACTGTTCACTTCAACTGGCACCTGACCCACTTCAGCTGACTGTTCACTAACTGGCCAACCCGGACCCACTTCAGCTGACTGTTCACTAACTGGCAAACCCGGACCCACTTCAGCTGACTTTTCACTAACTGGCAAACCCGTACCCACTTTAGCTGGCTGTTCACTAACTGGCCAACCCGTACCCACTTCAGCTGAGTGTTCACTAACTGGCCAACCCGTACCCACTTCAGCTGAGTGTTCACTAACTGGCCAACCCGTACCCACTTTAGCTGACTGTTCACTAACTGGCAAACCCGTACCCACAACAGCTGACTGTTCACTAACTGGCCAACCTGGACCCACTTCAGCTGAGTGTTCACTAACTGGCAAACCCGTACCCACTTCAGCTGATTGTTCTGAAACAGACTTCAGAACAGAGTTTATGGATGACAACTGCTTTATTTCATGAGTGCGACGTTTCGATACAAATTCTTATACCGTTTTCAATGATCCGATTTGACTGACATTTTAGAAAGTGGTGAGTCCGGACCCCAAGCTGCCCCAAGGTTAGGCCAATCATAAAGTTTAATTTCTTGACGGTGGGACAATTGCCGCCAGGTGGGGCTGCAATGAGAATTGGGTGTAGCAGGCCTAGAAAACATCGACTATAAAATATCATCTCATTACATTACTTACTACGCAATACTTTCTCCGTGTGCTATTAATAGAGAATGCCGTGGCATGCCTGGTATCAATACCTCATGCATGACGCTCTGAGTCATAACGTAGCATAATAGCTCCAACTTGGATACAGAAATGTTATTCTCAGAAATCTAGAAACCATTTCCCATATATGATCTGAAAGATATATACAATGGGCAGCGACAGATATAGTCATGTGATAAGTGATTCTGGGAAACCAGTATGAATGAATGTGACTTGGAACATAAACAAAAATAAATAAACACACTGCACGACATGCCTGTTGCAACACGCGCTGTATAGACCAGGTGGCCCAGCATTGTTTACACTTAATAGCTGCTGTGCAGTTAACATGTATTGTGAATAACTGAACATCTTTGTATGAATAGTCATAGATCCAAGTACACACAGTGCGTCCTATACAGAGAAATATATCTTACAAATAGGTTCAAATTTAAGTACATCGCTGTTGAAGACATACTACATTTCAGTGATGCATTTCATCTAAGTGTTTATAAACAGTGGGTACTGTCCACATTTCACTGAAGCCATTATAGGGATGTTAATGCCTGAACCAGGATCATTTCACTTGCAAGACATTGAACTCATTTTATGTCCCAATATTTTGCAGTTTGATGTAATGGATTTTGAAAGGAGGTATTTGTCCTACTTATAATATTTCGTAACAAATTCAGCTACCAACTCCTTAATAAAAGTGAAAATAGGATAAGTAACACACAGCCCAGTTTTACTCCAGTAGAGTAAACAGTCAAACCAGCGTTACACAATATAAATGCTGAAACAAACGTATACACAGACTGACTCATAGTCAGTAGTCAGCATAGTCGGTAGTCAGCCGGAATATTTGGAGAATATATACTAGGCACATAAAGAAACTGCGCATACAAAAATTTAAAGTCTAAATTGATCAAACCTGTGTAGACACATAAGGATTTAAACTCAGAGATTAGTGACATGTATCCGACATGCATGCACGTGCCACGTTCCGTGACGTCAGTGGGTTCGTCCTTGAGACGTGCAATACGTTGTTGCACGTGCATTCCGGGAAAGAGAAACAGAGCAAATGAATGCCACACAATACTGTAACTTTGGAAAGCTCAACCCCTGCCCTTGCGATCGTTCAAAACATTTAACGGCTATTGAAACGCTTAGCATGCCAAGGCTCACGTCTGCACAACGTCATGAGGCCATTGGGATGGTCCATGGGGGAATGTCTCAACGACAAATGGCTGCACATTTCCACTGCCACCGGAACACCATTTCTGCACTGGTGAGACGCTACCACAACACAAATGACGTCATCGATCGGCCACGTTCTGGACGTCCACGTGTAACAACGCCAAGACAGGACATATGGATAAGGGTGACCCATCTTCGCCACAGGTTTCAGACTGCAGTGATGACTGCCCGAACCATCCCAGGACTTCGCCGTATCAACCCCAACACAGTTCGACAACGTTTACGTCATCACGGGATCAGACCATACGGCCTATCCTGACACAACGTCATCGACAAGCTCGCCGAATGTGGTGCCGAAATCATGTCCGCAGACCCTTGTTTTGGTGGAGAAATGTTGTTTTTACAGATGAGTCCAGGTTTAACATTTCCCATAGTGATGGACGTCAACGTGCCTATAGACGCGTGGGAGAACGTTATACACAGGCCTGTGTCTTGGAGAGGAATCGCTTTGGTGGTGGTTCCGTGATGATTTGGGGTTGAATAACAGCACGCCAAAGAACTCCTTTGGTGATTGTTCAGGGCAACTTAACTGGTGTGGGCTACAGGGATCAGATGCTTCGACTTGTGGCAATTCCTTTTCTGCAACGTCAACATTTCAACAGGACAATGCCCGCCCTCATACGGCAAGGGTTGCTATGGATTTCTTGCAACACCACAACGTTGACTTACTGCCTTGTCCTGCAAATTCACCGGATCTCTCCCCGATAGAGCATGTTTGGGACGAGATGGATCGACGTCTAAGCCGTCTTCCTCATCCGCCAGATAACGTCCTTGAGCTTGCAACAGAACTTGAGAGAATCTGGCGTGACATCCCACAAGCCTTCCTTGCACGTTTGATAGGCTCTATGCGTCGTCGATGCACTGCTGTTCTCAATGCCGATGGTGGACATACCCGTTATTGAGCTTGTGACATGGTCTTTGACCCCTGTCCCGTTTGTGGACTCGTGACGTCATAGTGATTGACTTTTCAATTGAAATTCCCCCGACTTGTTATGGTCTCATGATCCCTCCATTAAAGTTTATATGTACCTGTGACATTGTTATCGTACTTATCAACTGGGATCATATTTTGACAATGCACAGTTTCTTTATGTGGATAGTATACATTTTTTTCTCTAGTAGATAATTTTGTGTACAAGCAGTTAGTGTCAACATGGTATCTGTAGTTGTACATCCGAACTCACAAACTGCTTGTTCTTCACTTTGTTATTATTTTCGGCGCTTGTTCTATTCTACAGTTAGTTACTGTTACAAATAGCGTGGCCGCAGAAAACAGTGGGGATAAATATACGTGTACTCGCCAGTATTACTATAGACATACAGACAGACATTTTATTCGGTAATAGGCCACTGGCCCAAAATACATTCATAGATATGATAAGAAATTGTATGCGTTTCACTGAAAAACATCAGAATCTCATAAATTATTCATAACATTTATGTTTGTTGAAGACATTATGTTGATAAAGCTTTGTTGTGAAATAGGATGTTTAATATATTTATCGAGAAACGTATTCCTTATATCTAGGTGGGCTTTACAGTAAAGTAAAATATGTATTTCATCTTCAATTCAATTAACATAAGGGACATTGTTATATCTACCGGCCACATGGGTGCAATGTGTTAAGCCCATTTCTGGTGTCCCCCGCCGTGATATTGCTGGAATATTGCTAAAAGCGGCGTAAAACTAAACTCAGTCAGTCAGTATATCTACCGGTCTCAGAAGTAAGTTTAAAATTATCACATCTAAAATTTGTTAAACAATTTCTTAAATATGGGGCAATATCTTAACTGAGATAAGTTTCAACATTGTATTCAATGTATTTCTACTATATCACTACAACAAACATTCATGACGTATCACGTGTCATATTTGGGATTACACTTTCTCAGTAAAGTATCAGAATCTTGTACTTTTGTTGGGTTGAGTCCCATCCGAGTCGTTACGGCGGTTGACGTTGTGTAATCCCAAATATAACATGTGTTACATTTGACCACTTTCTAAGTGGTAATGGGTAGTCACAACATTCATGACGTGAAGATCCGCGAAGATCCGGGTTACGATTGATCTTCACCAACCCATGCTTGTCGTAAGAGGCGACTAAGGGGATTGGGTGGTCAG